ATTGCAAATCATATACGGTATGAAGGGCCGACGGGCAATAGAAATGGGACAGCGCCCCCACAGGACAAATGATGGTTTTTAATTTAACTAGAATCCGTATCTTTTTAGTTTGTCCGTCACGAAAGAAAACAATAATTCGTTATCATGTGCTATTTTACAGCATGAAGCATAATATAAATTGAACAGAAGTTTTGAAAAAGTACTCATTGATCAAAGAAATATTATAAATTCACTGTTCAGACAAATTAAAATAATCATACAAAAAAAAGCCCCCAAAACATATTTTTGATCTAAAATCCCATTTTAAGGTCTCATTAATAATATAATATTAAAGAATATCTCTGGTCAATGATTGTTTTCATATATACTTAATGTACAGGGTACTCTGCTTGCTAAATGTATTTCTCAGTCAATTTCAATGTTTACATGAAACTGGGCATTCTGAAGTGTGCAGGTTTTAACAAAATGGTGAAAAAAAAGAAACTGTTTCTTTTTTAACCTTCCAAATTCACCCTGGATCTAACAGTTACTATATTCTTATAAAAAAAATTATGTTGACGTAAGTTGAGCCTCGTAATTAATCTAGTATTCACAACAGCAATTCTTACAAGTGGCGTAAATATGGCCACCACTGAATAATGTGCACAATGATGTTTACACATTGGATAGGAAATTTTTCGAGTTGACCATATAAATATTTTTTGTGTGTGTGCTTTTTCAATCGAGCAATAATGGTTAATAATTCAAGCCTTTTAAAATGGTATAATATCAACATCTCTTGTTAGCTAATCTCTTGTTAGCTCTAACGTTTGAACCAATTGGGATAAGTTAACGTCGTATACAGTTCAATACAACAACCTAAACTGCCTTAAAATTTTACAAATATCACAAGCCTGCATACTTTGAAATGAGATAAACCTAAATACAGTTGACTATGGCATTCACATTCAGTTTAGGATGCCAAGGCACTTACAAAACCTTTTTCAAAAGGTCGCTGGAGTTGCGTCCTCCATATGTAAGCGTATTTTACTCTGGCCTAATGTGCCAACATAACCATTATGTCATAGTTACGCTACCGGTAGTACTGATATCGCCATAACAAACCCATTTATGTCAGCAGAACATATTAAAATCTGTTTTTCTCCTACACCAAAGTTACTTACATCAGCATAAAGGGAAACAAAAAAACAGTTGAGAACATAGTATGTGTTTAGCTAGTCACATTGCTGTTATATTGTTTGAATAAATACTTAGCATGCCCGTTTGGGCGCATTAGGGCTTGAAAATTATACTGGGCACTGTTCAATATTTTCTTAAACATATCCATAGTAAACAATATACACATTTAGGGTTATTTTACATATCAGAATTGATTATTTGAAAAAATTTATCTTGATAGAAAACCTGAACATGTATAGAAGAGAGTTTCTATGATAACCACCATTAAATAAAAAATACACATAGTATATATTAAATACAAACCCAATTTAATACTATAAAACTTGCATATTTGTGACAAAAAAAAAATGTTTTTGTACAAATGAATAACCAAATAGAAATAAACTCATAGTAAACTTTGGCTGAATGGATAAATCTATTCACCATGTACAAACATCTACAAACAAGTAAAAAAATTCATTTAAAAAAGTTAACGGAATATATAGGGTTTTTGATGCATCCATTGAATTTCAAGAGATATTGTCCCTGAGTTCATCTAGTTCTTTCCCTTCGTATAATCGCTTGAAACCTCTTGAGATACTGCGACATGATGAGAGGTCCACACGATTCAAGGAAGGACATCCCTGCAACAGTAACCTAGGAAACAGAGCAAACAAGATATATAATGATGTAACCAAGGCTTAGTCACATTTGTTACTTTTTAATTGTCACAGAACAGTACAAGTACATGCAAGTGATATCACTCCTTGAATATTAGTCGGTGGGAGGCTTATTTTATAACCAGCGAAACATAGTTCATGTAAATTAGAGCATTTTCTCTTCACTGCGAAACCCTGCGATATGCATGAAATCAAACGTAAAAACAGGACAAACAAAGGTCATAGCATCATAGTGGCATCAAAAAATGGGATTTGTGTGGGATTTGACAAACACGAAACTTGAAATGGAACTTTTGTGATCATCTGGGAATTTGTGAGACTTCATACTGTAAAACATGACTTTTTCGTGAGCATGTCTTTTTCGCGAATTTAGCGAGAGAACTGATTCGCTAATTCAAGATGTCGCTAATGACTTTATTATCAATTCAAAATGGCTGCCAAACAAAGAAATCTACAATGACAAGAGAGATTCACTAAAACAGCATTTCGCTATTACGTCATTTTACCACAATTCCCTAAAATTGCATGCCGCTTTTTCAACATGTTTTACAGTATATCCTTGATACAACCAATATTGTATTTTTTTCAATTTGTATCGTCAAAACCAATCCTATTTCAATGATTCAGCATACACCAAATGCACTTTTTCAGGTATGTGCACTTCTAATACAGAAAATATGGTATCATTTCAACTTGTGAGCCATTCAAGTTTGTGGGTTCTTGGGACTGACTCTGTGGTCTTATGATTTGCTACATGCTTGGTCACATGACACTCACCTGACACTGTTCATTTCAACTTGAGAGCTACTCAAGTTTGTGGCTTTTTGGGACTTAACCCTGTGGTCTTATGACTTGCTACATGACACTCACCTGACACTGTTCATTTCTACTGGCGACCCACTCAAGTCGATTATACTCAGTGTTGATTGGTCACCATGTTTGGCCAATTCTGTCATTGCTTGCTCCATTTCCATGGAAGGGTCCCTGATCCATGATATGTCCAGCTGTACCAAGCTGTGTTGCCACTACAAGATGAAATGTTAGAGGTCTCTGACATGTGACTCCTAATAGTTTAGTTTTTCTGCCACAACTTTGCTGCATCACCTCGTCTTCATGTATTTTCCTAAAATTTTGTTTGTTTGATAATTTTGGACCTAATCGACATGATTTCTTATTGGTTGCAGACCTTTTTGGAAGTTTATAAAGTGACAAATTTAGATTTGGTGCTCAATAGGTTGAAGCAGCACAGTGAGGACATGGGTAACTCTTCAAATTTTCGAGTGAGTGAGTGATTTATTAATTATAGTGACCTGCAGCTCAGAGAACTGCCCAGCCCAGTGGACTTATAAGTCACCTTAAATAATAACGATTACATTTACAAATACAGGTTTTGAAAGAGAGCTTGAAATAATATATCAACAATACAATCGTGTAGTTCAGTAAATTCAGACGTACAACAAATTTCTTCTTTTGTAAAAAGCCTTTTCTATAAAAAGAGCAAATTTTCTTATTGGCCCTGAAAATAAACGAACCAGTATTTGTTCCCGTGATATGCCAGTTATTTCATTAAGAATTGAATCTAGATACCGGTACTCATGCCTCAATTCATTGTATTGCTGACAGTCAAACAAAAAATGCATTTCGTCCTCAACAACGTTTGCATCACAAAGTTTACAGATTCGTTCACTTACAGGCTCGTGTCTAAATCGCCCAGTCTCAATACGGAGAGGCAAAATGCCCATGCGCAGTTGAGCTAATAGTGACCTTTGACCCTGACTTAAATTTATTAGCATGTACTTTTCTGGTTTATATTCAAATTTAAAAGTTGCATAGACACGTAACTTTGGTTTGTGACTAACATCTTCTGACCAAGATGACTCTGACCTCCTCGCAATATTTTCTCTTAATGCATGTATAATTACGTCAATTAGGTGTTCATACTTTAAGTCGACGAGCTCCATAATTTGGTAAATCTCTGATGACCAATTATTATAATTTAGGGAGTGATCCCACAGAAATACTCGTTTAACTAGTCTATTGTCATCAAGTTCAGTAAGACGTTTCCACAGTCTAACCATATGGGCCCATTTTTGATCTCTGCATGAGACCCACCCAGTGTCACCTTTAACCGCCAGGAGTGGGGAAAACCTATGGGTGCCCTTAAAGCCCTATTTTGAATCATTTCACACTTTTCAAATTTACTAAAACCCCAAACTCCGGAACAATAGTCAAGTATAGGCGCGACACTGGCATCATATAACTTTGTAAATGTGGAAAACCCAAGATTCTTGAGAGTTTTAAATTTAACGAATAACGCTCCTAACGCTCTACTTGCCAAGTCTGCTGCGATACCAGCAGTTACAGAATAATCAACGAATTCATCCAAAACAATCCCCAAATATCTATACTTATTGGTATAATCTAACACGTCATCACCAATGCAAAATTGGAATGCACTTCTAGCTTCACTGGCTTTTCTAAAGTAATATACTGTAAAATACTTTATTTTTGCTGGAATAAATTTTCGCTGAAAAGACTTTTTGGGTGTTTTGTATGGAATTTATTTTCACTGATTTTCGACGAGTTGAATGTAAAATATAGGTAAAAGGGTATATTTGCTGGATTTTATTTCCACTGAATCATTCCTTCAGCAAAAATAGCGAAAATCAAGCATTTTACAGTATTCAAAGAAATATTCAAGGTAAATTGCATGAATATGAAGCAACTCATTTAGTTTTACCTTCTCGATTGTCCGGCAAAGTCCACCATGTTCAGAAATGGTACAACGACTCATGAACAGGTGTTGTAGATTACCAGCTGGAATGTTCTGTATATTAAATATAAAGACAGAGGACAATAGCAGATTTGAAACTGAATTAAGTTACACTATAAATATGATTCTAAACAATAGGGATTATTTTCTGGTACAGTAGTGATTATATGTAGTATTTATGACAATAAATAGTGTACAAGCCAGAAATACCCCTAGTCGTTTTTAATGGAAATAACGCAGCCTATGACGGTAAATGGAACAGGAATGAGACTCAGATCATATCATCTCTAGGGTTGGCGATGACAGACCAATTATGTTACATGTGATAAATTTATTTACTGGCTTCTTTGTGGCTTTTTACAGTTGTTTAAGAAAATGGCAAATTCAGGCAAATTCATGTGTGGCCATGTGCTAAATCGTGACGTGAAATTTGTTCACTTGGCTACTGAATCTAGCCTTTGCTGTCATGCTAAAAATAGGTGAACAAAAGACCAAAAATATTTATTCTAAATAATACAAGTTTTAACTTTTCTTTTGCTAACAAGCTTCATGCACATTAGGACATGCATACTAGTCGGCATATAGCAGTTTTATTTTGCGTTACAAGTGGCTGTGGTCGGTCAAAAGGTTTTCGCACGTAGACGATTTATTATCTTTACTATCGCCACATATCAGTAGCAGCATTTATAAGAGTGTAAGTGTGAACTTACCCATTCAGTTTCAAAAGGTTTGCCATGATAAAGGATGTAGAGTGAAGCCTTAAAAAACTACATGATAAACCCAAAATACAGAGATTTAAACAAAAAAAATCAGTGTTCATTCAAACCTCCAATGCATTTTTACTTAATCTTCTACAATTTCTGATATCCAAGTATTTCAACTTATGTGACGTCTTCAAAAGTCGACTTAAAAATTCATCATTGGCCCCATATGAATTGTAAGCTTGCAGATTAACTCGGCTAGCAAGACTCAATTCTTCCAACTCTGGAAAACCTGGTGACATTGCCTTCAACAAAAACATAAAAACAGTGCTTGAAACTTGATTTTATTTGTCAACTTTTTTGATGGAGGATGAGACAACAGTTTTTACAATATAAGAAGACATTGTAAATGGTCAACTGTTAACCTTTTCACCACCAGACTTTCTCGCCCAAATATTTCTATACCTTATATTTTTCAATATTTCTGGAAATGAACCTTACTTTTAGAGCCAACAGACAAAAATTGAGTTAGTTTTCAGTTTTCACTCAAAAAATATTTGGCTATTTTTTTCCCAATCAGTTCTGTTCCAAATATGATAAATTTGTGTTACATGTATCTAGGGAGGTTTTAAAAGTTTACCAGATAAAATTTTTTTGATATGAAATTCAGAAAATCTTGGATTCAAAATTGACTTTCTTTTATATAGAAGAGTTTGTATGTGCAATATTGACTCACCTGTCTCTCCAATGTAGTTGGCGGTACTCTACACTCAATACAGTTCAATCGTAGAATCTGTAATTTGGGCCATGCAATCTGCAGATCCTCAATGGGAAACGTCATATTATTCTGGTTTTCAAAAAACGAGCAGCCTGAAATATCCAGACTTCTTAAATTTGGACAATGATCCTGTGAGAAATCAAAAATAATATAAAAACTGATTTGAAAGATATTCAATCAGTCAGTACCTTGCACTGAATGCGACTTTGATTTCTGCTTTTATTCACGCATTACATTATGGAAAAATATTGACAGATGTTTCTAATATCTGGTATAAGGACATAAAAAAAGTTCTGCCTATTTAGGATAACCATTTCACTATCAGACATTCTCTGCCAAATTTTGTTTGCACATTTTTCTTATATTCTTCAATAACCTTAAATGGATCCTAATTTTGGAGCCAACAGATAAATTTGAGTCAATTTTCGGTTCTTATTCTATAATTTTTGTTCCAATCTTCTGAAGGAAAGTGCAGACTATAAACAGAACTATTTAGTGAATTTGTGATGAAAAGGGGGAACTGGTTGTGAAAAGGTTAACGATTTTTAAGACGGAAAAAACTTCATTTGAATACTATTCATAGCCAACTCTTCTTGGTAAAACAGAATCCATTTTGAATTGTAGAGCATGAATGAGTCAAGACTAGATGTTCAAAAATCACATGATTTAATTAAAGAAATGTTCTTAATTCAAGATACCCCCGGTAATTTGAATTGTGTAAGTGCAACTAACTAAAGATTCCAGAAGTGCTTCTATTGTGATTAAAAGATGTACAACAGTGGAAGAATAAATCAATATGGGAGTTAAGCAAATTATGCCTCAATATAATTCATCAAATTACTGTAAAATACTTTATTTTAACTGCAATTAATTTTCGCTGAATGGACATTTTCTATGAAATTTATTTTCACTGATTTTTGACGAGGTGAATGTAAAATATAGGAAAAAAAGGTATATTCACTGGATTTTATTTTCATTGAATCATTACTTCAGCAAAAATAGGGAAAATTAATTTCAAGCAAAAATAAAGTATTCCACAGTAATTCACTACTAACAGAAATAATGATTTTGAAATTAAAAAAAAACATTTACATTCTAAAAAAATGCAATAGAAAATTTGAAAAGCCTTCTATAAAAAGAAACAATAAACAAAGTAATGAATAGTGTACCACCATGCAGTGGTACATATACTATTAGTGTCCCACTTCATAATAGTCACTTTTGTAGGTGTCAGAAATTTGTGTATGCAAGGGACTTAACTCTTAATATTTATTTACCACAGAACTATAATAATGAGCAGGGAATACTAATTTGGCTTTACAGTTCATCAGAGATTACCCAGAGAGATAATCACGAAATATGCCTTTTAAAAGAAAAATAATTAATTAATAATAATAAACTAATAATCACCTCAATACAACATTTATATTTTTGTGGGCCATTGTTGAAAAAACAAGCAAACAAACACCTTATTTTGAAAATAAACAGTCACCAAAATAAAAACACAAAAATATTTCACATTATTGATATCAGCTGAGCGCAGTCCAAATGTGCGAAGGTCAATTGGCTGGGCACCAATTACCAACAAAATGTCTGGTAAGGGGTGTAACAATAATTCAGGTCAATGAAAAAATACACGTGAATGAAATACAAAGACAGCAATGACGATATACAATTAAGGTCATTTTTTTGGATTATAATAATAACAAATAAGATATTAGAAATTGTCAACAATCAAATGAGTTTATCAGCAATGAATATTCAGAAACAACTTAAAAATATACACATGTAATATTTTTTGCAATGGAACACTTTATTAACACAATAGCAAATTTTAAAAGTATAAACACCATCAAAATGTCAGGTCCTGTACGATTTACTGGCACATCAAAAGATGTAGACACTATTACAATTACATACAGCAACACATTGCCAACTCAAGTTTTCATTTAAAACACTGGATACACAAGTGTAAGGGCAAAAATGATTATGCATTGTTG